ACTTATTTTCCCTGAGGCCCTCTGGGAGGGGAGCACCAGCCACATCTTGGCAGAGCCCACGTGGAAGAAATGGCAAAGAGATCATCTGGGGGCCAAGGAGCCAGCCCAGAGCACAGAGTTCTCTCTTTTTTTCTTTTTCTTTTTTCTTTTTTGGTACTGGGGATCAAACTGGGGACCTTTCACTTGCAAGGCAGGTGGCAGAACCACTGAGCTAAATCCCAGGCATGCACAGACTTCTTTCTGGGTGCTCCCTGTGACCTCTGGGTCTCCCTGGTGGTCGCCTAACTTTACCCAGGAACAGCTCTGGTGGAACATTGCTGGGCCAGCACCCCTGCCCTCCCAACACCTGTTTAGTTTGCTCCAGCTTTTCTTCCATTTCCTCTTATGATGCCCAATTAGTTCCAAGAACTGAAGCAGCAGGGAGAAATCTCAGAGGGCATACAACCTGTTTCCCATCCCAGATCACCTCCAGCAGCCACAAGTCCTCCAAAGGGGTGATGTTATCTCAGGCCAAGAGATTCCCTGCTATCTTAACTTCCTCTAGCTACCTGCTAGGCTGTTCCTTTCTCCCTCTAGAGGGGTAGAGGGAAGCTAGCCAGGCCCTCATCCAAACAACCCTCTTAGTTTAGTAAGCCACCTCTTCTCCAGGCTAAACAATCCCAGTAACTTTAACCCTTCCCTCTCAGGTCCTATTTTCCAAGCCTTTAATTAATCACCCTGCCCTTCTCTGGGTTTTAGGATGCAACCCTACAATCACAGAATTTCAGAGCTGCAAGCAACTTGGGACAATGGGGAGAAGCAGAGGTTTCCAGCCTCATCCTACACAGCTGCCAAAACAGGAAGGAAGCTGGTCAACCCCCTGACTAGGTGTCCTCCCCATTCTTCCTCTGGTGGAGGAAAGCCTTGTTCATTTCCTCTAAAGCCATATATTAAACAAAAATTTACTGAGTGATTCTTACACATTCACATGATTGTTACTTTCCTTAATCCCTCCATAGTCCTGCTAGGGAGCTAGGATCAGCCTTGATTTGTAGGCAAGGAAACTGGCTCAGGGAGATTAGGTAACTTTCTCAAATTCATACAGCAAGAAAGTCCCAGGGATCCTCCACCCATGCTCACCTCATCTGCTACTTTCACCCTGGTTTTGGCTCTACTGAAGAGATCCAGCTTCACAGAGCTTTTGGCAAAGTTCCTCTCTGTCCCCAGGAACTGTCCAGGACCCAAAGAGCCTTAGCTGAGCCATTGCGGGAAATAGTCAGGATTCCATAGAGAAATAGGACCAACAGGATATGCATTTATATGAAGACATTTATTTCCATGAATTGGCTCAGATGATCGTAGGGGCTGACAAGTCCCAAATCCAGAAGGCAGGCTGGCATGCTAGAAGCATGGCAGGGGCTGCTGCTGCAATTTTAAGGCAGAATTTCTTCTTTGGGTTGACTTAGGTTTGAACTCCTTGGGGCTTTGAACTGATCAGATGAGGCACACTCACATTATTGAGGGTAATCTCATACTGAGGGTTAAAGTCAGCTGACTGTAGGTGTTAACCACATTCACCAAATACTCTCCAAGCAACGCCTAGATTCATGCTGGATGAGGTCACCAGCTCCTACAATTTAGGTAAGTGACACATGGAGTGAAAAATCCCAGCCTCCTTTGTGGTGTTGATGTGGAGCCACAGACAGATGCCAGCCTGGTTCAATGGCATTTTCCCAAGTGCTCAGCCAGTGCTGGGAAGGTGCTAAGGAAGGGGAATTATGCACCTCCCCACTAGGAAGCCATCCTAGCTCAGGTTTTGTCCCCAGGCCCAGTCCTGGTCACCATCTTTGGGGAGGTCCCATAGTTAGGACCAAGTGTGTTCTCAGGGGCAAAGGACCTAGAGAGAGCCCAGGGCTGCTCTTGGAGTAGGGTGGGAGGATGATTGCTTAAGTTCAGAGGGACCTGGTAGGCTAAAAGCTGTTAAGGGCCATGCCTGGCCTGCTGGTGATGTGTTACAAATGTTTGCTCTTTTCCCTTTCCTGCTCTCCCGGGTAGCTATGTAGAGCATTCTAGGCAGGTAGAAGTCAATCCTGTTTTTAAAGCACTTTCAAGAAAGGAATTATGATAGCTGGAAAGTTGTTTCTTAACCTTGAAAGTTCATCTGAATATGTCATGAAAAACCTTCCTATTTCAGGATAAACTGAGTCATATCAGGGTAGCAGAGATGAGAAAACTAGATGTTGGATATTCAATTATTGCTGTGAAACTTTGAACCACTACAGACTTCTCACTGCTGCTGATAGCTAGAGGCACTCTAAGAGGACCTGGGTACCAAGGAGTCAAAGGAAGCACAATGCAGTAGGGAATTACGAAATGAACTGCCCCATAACTTGTCCTTTGTGGGCCAGAGGGTCTGTTCCTCAACTCCAACTGGAAAGTAAACTGTCAATTCTAGAATATTTAAATTAGACCCAAAGAAAGACTGCCTGTAGAATAGTCCTAAAGCTAGAAATGAATGGCTAGAATGAGAGAGCTTGTGAAATAATTTTCCTCCTAGGTCTTTTAAAAGGTATATAGTTCATTACAACACACACACACACACACAAACACACACACACACACACACACACACACACACACAACTTTCTTGTCCAGAGGATCAGCTGAGATTCCAGGGAAGGTGGAGGAGTTTATTCCTTTTAAATCCTTTTAAGGAGTTTCCTCTTTCAGGGGAAGGTGATTGGTGGTGAAATTAGATGTTGCTAGGCCACCTCAGTGGGTGGGTGGTGCTGCCCTACAGGTAGAATCGAGGGAGGGGCCGGGAGGGGATGGCTTCAAGATACCTCCTGAAAGAAGCTGGGGAGGAGGCCTAGGATTGCTGTAGGTGGGTGTGGGAGGAGAGGACTCAGACTTGGTGGGGCTGGCAGGGTACACCTGGTCGGAGAGAGCTGAGGGGAAGAAGAGGTAGAAGTCCCTCTGCCTTATGAGGATTCTGTTCTGAAAGCCACACATGCCAGGTCTCTTTCCTCCTAACTCTTGAAAGGGATGAGGGAGGGGCTGGCAGCCAAAGCCCACCATGTCATAGCAAGAAGTCTTTAAGCTAGACCAGAGAGAATGGGATAAGATGGGAGATGAACATCTGAGGAGGTTCGCAGGACCTCTCTCTCTCTCTCTCTCTCTCTCTCCCCTCTTTAAAATCAAAAAGCCCCTCTGCTTCAAGGTCTTCCCTTCCCTCAGCTATTGTGGAGAGTCTGGTGGCCTTTGGGAGCTTTTTAACAGTTTCCATGTGACACATAGGCTCCAAGGGCCACCAGAAAATGTCCTTTGATAGAACCTGTGCAGCTGGACTTGGGCTAAAGAGGGTGGGAGCCCTGCAGATGGGGTGTGTGCAGTCAGGCCTCTCCTTAGGCATAAATGACAGAGCTGGAGGGAGGGGGCTGTGGGAGTTTGGGAGCTGTCACCTTCCTTCAGTCCATTCTTAGTGTCTCCGCAGACCTCAGTATTGCAGGTGTGGAAGTCCTTGGGTTTTTGGTCAGCTCCAGGAGCTAGTGGGTGCAGAGGTGGTGGTATGAGGGCTTGGTCCAGTCCTGGAACAATTTCTTTCTTCAGGAAAGACTTTTCAGTCTTTAGGTTCTGGGGATCCTAGGAAATTCTTCCATTGGCTATTTGAAAGGAGGAGCTCCCCAAAGGAGGGGACTCATGTCCCAGCACATGGAGACCAAAAGGCCGGTCAGCCAGCTTGTCTCTGCCCTTGCTGCCAGGTGCTGTTATTGTAAAGGATTAGCTGTTCAGCCTGATGCGTCAAGGGCGTGGGGGCTGTGAAGCCTGACCTGGATTTGAGCCCACTGCCCTCCATGTAGCTTTGGACCTGCTGCTCCAGCTGCACCCACTGTCTGCTCTGCCTGTACTAGGTGGTGAGGTGGGAGATGTTGGTTTCCCATAACCTGGCAGTGGGTCCCATCCTACCAGTGCCCGGGTGGCACATCCTGCAAGGTCCCAGTGTTCCAGCAGAGGGTTAGGGAGAGGAAGAAGTGCAACACTTCTCACTTTTTTTCTGGACCATCTGGATTTATTGGGGTCCCATGCTGCACTGGCTTCTTTTTGGAGGGTGTTACCTGTGGTCTGGCCCAGAGAAGGTGTGCAGAGTTTTCTGAGTCACACAGCAAAGCTACTGTGGAGAAAGGTGAGAGGCAAGTGTGGCCCCTAAGGATCCAGCCTCCTGTCTGGTGTTGCTTGGATCCCCTCATTACTTTGTCTCTCTTGGGCCTTAGGGTTCAAGCAGGTTCTGACCTGTTGTGATGAAATACCTAAAGTCTAAGTGCATCTTGTTAGGGGCACTGGAATAGGGAAGATTTTAGAAGCCACTTTCTGCTGAGATATTTAGATGGCTCCATGCCATCTGAGCTGAAGAAGGCACTTTGGAATCTCAAAGGGCTTGGGTTTGAATCCTAGCTCTGCCCTTTGCCTGAAGCCAAGGAATTGTCATCTTGAGCACCATTTTTCTCATCTGTTAGAAAGGCATGATAAAACATACTGCAGTATGACTTACATAAACTCGTATGTAAAGGACCTAGGACAATGCCCGGAAGTTGGTAATAAAATCCAAATCAAACTTAACCCAGAGCTTCCCTTAGGGTGAGAAGCAACTGCCCCATTCCAGGGTGGAGACTGTCCTCTGAAATCCAGGCCCTCCAATTACAAGGTTATTTGGCTTATGTGACCCAGTTACTAGCCCTCTGTCCCATGGGCCTCGGTGGGCACCTCATCTTCTGCCCTGGGGCCACCACTCATTTGGGCAAAGTCTGTCCACCTGTGAGGACAGAGGCTCTGGCTTCTCTCATGAGAAGCAGCTCAACTGGTTGTTGAGTTGTGGAAAATAATTAAGCCAGGGGAGAAAAAACACTTCTTTTAAAAATCAGGCTAGGGATGAATGTGCAGGGTGTGGCCCCCGTATAATTAGTGAGCTGCAGGCTGGCGGGCCTGCCTCTCTCTGGCCCGTTGTGTCAGGCGGGTGCCTGCGCCCCTCCCCTGCTCCTCCTCCCGCAGGTGTGTCTCCCGGCTCTGTGGCTGCCTGTATCACTCCCTGCTCAGACACCCAAGAAATTACCCACCCCGCAGCCCCAGCAAGCCCGAAGCAGACCAGACAAGTGTCCTGCGATGGAAGCTGCAGATGCCTCCAGGAGCAACGGGGCCAGCCCAGAAGTCAGGGACGCCCGCAGCCCATCCGGCCCCCACGGTGGCCTGGAGAACGGCACCAAGGCTGAAGGCAAGGACAACAAGACCACCAATGGGCACGTTGGGGAGGCAGCAGAAAGCAAGGGCCGGGGCAGCGCCCTGAAGGCAGGGGAGGGGAAGAGCGCCCTGTTCTCAGGCAACGAGTGGCGGCGGCCCATCATCCAGTTTGTGGAGTCCGTGGATGACAAGGGCTCCAACTACTTCAGCATGGACTCCGCGGAAGGCAGGAGGTCGCCCTACGCGGGGCTCCAGCTGGGGGCCAAGAAGCCGCCAGTCACCTTTGCAGAGAAAGCGGAACTGCGCAAGTCCATCTTCTCGGAGCCCCGTAAGGTGTCCATCGTGGAGCCCGGCGAGGCCCGGCGAAACAGCTACCCGCGGGCTGACTCTGGCCTCCTGCTGAGGCCCAAGGCGAGCTCCGAGGAGGTGCTGTGCGATTCTTGCATCGGGAACAAGCAGAAGGCCGTCAAGTCCTGCCTGGTGTGCCAGGCCTCCTTTTGCGAGCTGCACCTCAAGCCCCACCTGGAGGGCGCCGCCTTCCGCGACCACCAGCTGCTTGAACCCATCCGAGACTTCGAAGCCCGGAAGTGCCCCCTGCACGGCAAGACCATGGAGCTCTTCTGCCAGACCGACCAGACCTGCATCTGCTACCTCTGCATGTTCCAGGAGCACAAGAACCACAGCACCGTGACGGTGGAAGAGGCCAAGGCTGAGAAGGAGGTGACTTCTGGGCCCCAGTTGCCCTCTGGGGAGTTCCTTCACGGCTCTACCCCTCTGGACTTGGTCTCTGCTGACTTTCTAGGGTTTGGGGTTAAATCTCCACTGTGCTTGCCTCTTTTAGAAAATATTCTTTGCCCTCTGCACCCTCAACCTGGAGGTCGGAGGACTCCTCAATCCCCTAAAGTCTTGAGAGACAGGCATTTTCTAGATGAGCAAATAGAAGCTCAGAAAGAATTGGGGGCTGACCAAGGCCATAGGATAAATTCAAGACAGGTCAGAGAGTAAGACCCGAGGGTACAGAACTCAGTCCTAAACTCTGCCTGCTTGGAGGGTCTCTTTTTCACCCTTTCTTCTCCTCCTTCTCCTTCTCATTTTTTAGAGAGAATTCTTTCCTTGTGAGCCAGACTGAGCCCTAGGGAATGGGTTGTGGGTGAGGGAGACACTGGAAGGAGGGACTTGGGGGTCACTGGAATATCTTTTTGGCTGGCATCTCGGTTTGCATTTGCAGAACACTGGGTGCTTGTTCTATCTGATCCCCAGCCAGTCCCTCCACTCCCCTCACCTCCTTTGTTCTCTCACCGGGCCCAGTGTGCTCTGTGTGCCTGCAGGTAGACAGGACACGCCTGTGCCTGTGGGGGACACCAGTGTTGAGTGAGGGAGCGCATGAGTGTGCTTTCTATGTATGTAGGCATCTATATGGTTGTTGCCTGTTTGTGTATGGGATATGTAAGTGGGTCTGCATGAATTCCTTGTATGTGAATAAGTGGTATTTCCACAAGGAGGAGCAGAGGCAAGTGGAGGCTTGTGGGGGTGGCACACCTGGGGAAGGTGCTCTGAGATAAGGGCCCAGCTGTGGCCACTGCTTCTTGCCCCACAGATGCTGGGCCCACTCTCTCCACAGCTCCAGAGCTCTGGGCTGCAGAAGGCTGCCCCAGGGCCAACATTTCTGGTAGTCAATGCAGAGGACTTGACTGTCTCAAGAGCTTCTGCACCCCACAGCATGGGGCAGCACAGGGTCCCTTACTGCTGGACCTTTCTGACCCAGACTTGTTGCTCACTTGTGCCTCTTGCAAACTCCCCTGGGTAGGGAGGGATGAATTAGAGATGTGAACAGACTCAATGATCCTTTCCAAAGCTTCATTTGCCTCCAAAAGATGTCTCCAACTTCTCCTGTTCCCTTAGCCCCAGGTTCATGTTGGAAGATACAGAGGGGCAGGGGCCATGGAACCCATGCTTAGGGAACTTACTTGGGAAATCGAAACAAAAAAATGAAACGGTCATCTTTAGCCATTGCAGAGCCTCAGATGGGGTTTTAGGCTGTATTTTTTTCCCCTTTAACTAGTAGTAAGACAGTGGATAAATATCTTCCACTCTCAGTCCCAGCTTCTCTGAGGAGTTGGGCTAGATTATTGGTTTTCAAATATTTGCAAGGAGCCTTACGATTCTTATAAAAGTCTTTGAAGCCTCAGAGTGAAGAGGGAAGAGGAGCAAAGAGGTGGCCAGGAGGCAGAGGTTCAGGTTCCCACCGCTACTGCAAGCAAAGTGCACTCATTGACCTGTTTGTTATACAAGGTTTGGACCCAGATTTCATCTGAAACAAGTGCTCATTGAAAAGGTTGTGGTGGGCAGAAGGGTTTGGGCAGGTCCATTTGGAAGCACTGGGAGCTCTGACTTCATGTTCTGGCCCAGGAGCTGCTGTAGGGTTCACATAGTCCTTAAGGACTCACAGTGTAGGTCAGGAGGCAGAACTCAGCCAAACAAAACTGGAGAGCACCTTCCCACTTATGCAGAAGCAGCTGTAGTAAACAACAAATCACAGAGGATAGAATGCCAGGCCCAATGGTGCATTAGCCAGCCCCATTTGTCTGTCACCTCCTTCACCTTGCAGATGGGGACACAGGCCCAGAGAGAAGAACCAGCCCAAGATCCTGGTTGAGGAAGAAGCAGCTCCCAAAGTCTTTTTCTGATGTTTGAGAGAGCCTCAGGGAAAAGGCACTGAGGGGGCAGGATTTGAAATACGTGTGCCTTAGGAAAGATGCCTGATCTGCTGGAGTGACTGTAATGATGGTCACTCTGGGCAGTCTCTGTGTGTTTATGCCTGAAGAATACAGACAGGCAAGGAAAAGCAGGGCTGAGAAGCCAAGAATGTGACTGAAGTACTTTGTCTAGGCCCACCTCTGCTGGAATATTGGACAGGGTGACATTGGTACAGAACCAGGGTAGGGGGCTGATGGACCAGAGTAAGAGCATGTGTTAATCCTGGCATCCTCTGGAGGCATCTCCTGCAGACCCAAACATCATTCCACATACAGCTTTGTGCAAAGAGCCTGGGCAGAACTTGTTCTGCAGGCCTGTCAGTAAAGGTCAGGTGCAGTGGCTCAGCCTTATCTGAGTGAGTTGGATGAAGTTGCAGATGGTACTCCTGGCTGTTAGTGCCCATGTCCTGGCCTTGGCTATACCTGCGGACTCTGAGCAGAAGCCATGCTGGTAAAGGTCCCTTGGTGTGACAACATTATGGTTCCTTCCTCCAGTGGGCCCTAGATCATGATGTTTGTTCTTCCACTTCAAGTGTCACAAGGAGTCCTACAAATGTCCACTGGTCAACCTTTGCCACTGGATATTCCTCAGGTTAGGTCATGGCCCTTCCTTCTGTCTATCCCAAGTCCCTCCTCTGCAGTACACCAGGATATTAGGACCTCCTCTGGGTGGATGGCCTGCTCTGGGTGGCCCTGCTCTATTTTGTGTCTGGCTTATGTCTAGGGTCACAGCACCATTGGCATAATAAGGCATGTTCTGGAGAAGCTCAGCTGCAGGACCTTGTCTACACTATTCCATCATTTGTCTCAGGTTGTGCCCTTCACCATGCCCCAAGGCTTTGTTTCTTGTTGCTCATTTCTTTCAGGAAGGTTGAGGCCCAGGCTGATGGGCATGTGCAGCCTTGATCCAGAAGCTTCTAAGGGTGCTGCTCTGGACATTGAGGTGCTTTGAGGCAGTGGGATTTCGACTTGGGAAGAGAGCCAGGCTAAAGGTCAGGGTGCTCTGGAACCCCTGTCTTGGAGATTCTGGGGGAGAAATTCTGCTCTGGGACAAGGGGTGAGGCAGGAGGTAGGATGACCCATGTGGCGCTGAGGGGAAACAATCAAAAGGAGTTTAGAGACAGGGAGCAGGGGAAGAAAGTGACCTGCTGGCAGAAGACAATCCAGTCTGCATGGAGCCATCTGTGTGCCAGGTGCTGGCTCGGTGGCATTTGCAAGGTTACACATGTGGTAGTCTTGTGGGAGTGGTTTGAGGGGAGCACTGCACCTATTCTGTAGATGGAGAAGCAGGCTCCAAGATCCCAGGAGATTCATACAAGTTACAACGCTCGCGAGTGTTGGAGGTGGAATTGCTCACCACTGGTTTAAATCTTTTTCTGCTTGGAATTGGAAGGTTCTTCTTGGAATTTCCAAGCCCAGTGGCTCCAAAACAGCAGCCTACAGGCTGAAATCACTTGATGACTTGTTAAAACAGCTTCCCAGGCCTTGCCCTGATGGGTTTTATTTTGTTTTTTGTTTTTTTTGGTACTGGGGATCGAACTTTGGTCCTTGCACTTGCGCAGCAGGGGCAAAACCACTGAGCTAAATCCCCAGCCACCTGCTGGTTTTGATTCACAAGGTTGGGACCTGGGGTCTGTAGGCTTAGAAGTCTCCCTCAGGAATTGTAAAGTGCAACCAGCGTGGCAATCGGAAATCTAGTCCAATGTCACCACAGAAAACCAAGGCCCAAGGAGGTGAAGTGACTTTGCCAGGGCCTGTGCTGCTCTGGAGAGGCTAGGGTGATGCTTTTTTTTTTTGCCCCAACCTATTCCTTTCCTGACCTGAGGCTGTGGGAAAGCAGAGGAAGAGGGGGATTCCAATTAAACAGGCAGACTGATCCTTGGCTGTTTGACATCTGAGTAGAAATGGGGAAATCTATCTATCCAGCATTTCAGATTCTTATCCAGATAATCACCACGTATCTGGGAGTACAAATTTGGCAATTAACTAGCTCATTTGGCAAATGTCACAGCCCACAACCCTTGTAGTTAATTTAGGCCCCGGAAGATCACAGCTGGTCTCCCCTTCCCTGGGGGAGATGCAAGTACACCCGTCCAGGCGAACTCTTAGGTGTTGTCTGCACCTAAAGGCCCTTTCCAGGCCTAGGCAACAGGAGGCTGTTCCACCCCTCTGCTCTAAGGGAAACCTCTGCTCACTGAAGGCTGGAAGATCTCAACACTGAGTGGCCCACGCAAGGCCCATCCCAGGTATCAGAGAGTGAGATGAGTGTGGGAGAAGGGAACAAAAGAAGCATTTAGAGACAGGCCTGGGCAGGGTGAAGGGAGAGAAGTGGGGAGTGTGAGGAAGTCAGGAGGGAGCTGTGGGGAGGGGTGGGACTGTGGGGAGCTGAGGCCCTGTAGGATAACAGGGGTTCAGTCACATTCCATGGGAGCAGGGAGAAAAGGAGAGAGAAAACTGGGGCCTCAGGAGAGGGAATGGAGAGGGACAGGGAGACGAAGAGGTCTCCATGAGGTGGAGGGAGCTTGGGTGACGGGGAAGGTCTGTACTACAGGAGAGCCCAGAGCTACCAACCTGGAGGTGACTCTGAAGGCCACAGAACAGGACCCGAGCACTGTCACTGTATTTTGTCTTTACTTCTTTCTAACCATGAGGACAAGCTATATAATCTTTCTAGGCCTTGGTTCTACATCTGTAAAGTGGGGACACCATGCCTGACTTCTTTAGGGGGCATTTGTAGATCCTAGCACATTCCTGGCTCAGTGATTAAAGTTCCTGTCCTTCCTTCTCCTAGTACAGCCTTTGGAAGCGCCCCATGTTCTATTACTTCCTGTGCAGGAAAAATTGCCAAGAGCTAAACAGATATGACATCTATCCCTAGAGGTCTCACCACAAGCCCTCCTCCCCAAGAAGGACGAGAAAAGACAATTCTAGCAGCACACATTCCCAGACCCAGGTCCCTTTCAGGAGCTCACTGTGCCCTGCAAGTCTGGTCTTGCTAGCTGCACTTGGGCACCAGGCCCCTCCCAGACTGTGTTTGCCTTCCTGAGTGCCCTAAAGAAATGGAGGACCAGTCTCTTCTCCACCCTGACCAATTCTTCCGCCCACTGCTGCAGACAGCTCGTCTCCACTTCTGACCCTGCCCTCACACATGTCCAGACCAGCTTCTCTCCTTCTCCTGCTCTCCTCCCCATACTCCAGCTGGCCTGCTGCCCTCTTCCTGTATTCTCCTACACAGGCTGGACTTCCAGGGCACTAGCCTGTCTTTGTCCTTGGGCTAGGTGGTTCATGTTTTACATCCCACCATGCCCCGTTCTTCCTTTTTTCCTCTTGGTCAGCAAGTCTATGCTCACCTAGGCAAGACCTTGCCTCACCTGCAAGCCAGCCACACAATTCTGAACAGGTGTCCTCTGGGCACTGCTGCCTCACTCTGGCACTTGAGTCCTTGATCTTCACTGTCTCTGGTTAAATCCTCTTATACTCACAGGCACTTAGTCCACCTTCAGCCCCTTTTCCTATCTCTGTCCCCTCAAGAGCCTCCCTCCTTCCATTATTCACATCTTAAACTTTTAGTTTGCATCCTGTCTAATGTCTAACCTCCCAGTCTCTGTGATGTCAACTCTGCCCTCTGTGTCTGGACAGTCTCCACACTACATTCAAACCTGAATCTAATGACATACACCACCCTCACCACTCAACACCAAGACCTCTCCTGAGCACACTTGCCCACTCCCCTTGTTTGCCTATGCCCTCTAACCTGCCTGTCTGTCTGCCTTCTCTTCCAAGGATGGTGATTGGCACCTGGCCGGTGTCTAAACAGCAGTGGCGATATTATTTAGTCAGCACTGGCCTTGTAGCAGGTAGTTTCTGGTATCTTTATGCCCTTGGAGGGAGCTCCTTTTACTGACTCCATGGATCAGGTGGGGTTACTGAGGCACAGAGAAATTAAATACCTAGCAAAGGCCTCCTGCCTATAGGTGGTGGTTACAGGATTCCAGCTGTTGGGTCCCCTGTCCTGTGCTCTGGGTGAGGTTCTTCCTGGACCCCCAAGTAGCTCACATCATGGAAGGGTGTCCTATTCCCCCATCTCTGATAGGATCTTTACTGGGGTTGGGCCTGGCCTGAGGGTAGAAGGAGGTGTGTCTTTGTTTTCTTTCTTTCCCATTAGACCTTTTTCTGGGAGTGGTGAAGTGGGGTAGGAAATTCAAGTGTCTATTCTTCCACCCCTGAACTGGGTTAGGAAGTCTCAGTTACAGAGCATGGGAGGCCTTCAGCTGTCCTTCCACTTGGATCTCTTTTTTAGAGATGGGAAAGCTGGCTGAAACAGGCCGTTGTCAAACTTCTTGGCCTTTTCTTCAGGGCTTAGGTTCACCAACCAGCTCGACTTTCTCGGAGGCTTTGGGGCCATTGGGCCTGCCAAGGTCTGATTTCTGGGCTATCTGGCTCTGGATCCTCAGGGAGGGTTGGGGCTCTTTCCAGCAATCATGCCAGGGACTTACTGTCATTCTCCTCCCCCTGTCTTCTCTGTGTCTTCTCCCCAACCTTGTTTCAGAGACCAGGCCAAATCATTTCCTCTGTGTTCCTCTATTGTTGACAACCTGTCCTCTCTGGTGATGTCATTTTCCATGCTGTGGGATTCCAGCCCTTGTAGGTGGGTCAGATGCTCACTGAGAACATTCTAGAGTTTCAGTGTGGGGAGACCCTAGGAGTTTGTGGTCATGGAAGGAACAGGCATGAAACAGGGGCTCCCTTTCTGGGGAGCTCTGTGATTCCTGCCCCATGCTTTCTGCATGCTTTTGGGTCCCATTGGCAGAAAGACCAGCAGAGATCTATCCCCCATGGGATCCACTTGCTTGGGTGTCTGCAGCTGGTTCCCCATGGGTGCTCTCTCAGCTTGGCAGGGTATCTACAGATGTGCATGTGAGGACACTCCAGCCCCAGATGCTCATTGCCATTGGAGCTCACTTTCTCATGATGTGTGGCTTCTTTACCTTGGCTGCTTTGGTGGGTTCTTCAAGGAGATGGCTAGAGAAAAGGGTGGGACTTTTCATTCAAAACCCAGTGGTTGTAGGGAGATGCTGAGTGAGGCTTTCTTGGATGCCTTGGGCTTCCTAGTTGTTAGGTGGGACAAACTGTGGGGAGGTGTTGGGAGCCCTTAGAGAAGAGCCCCATGGGACAAAAAAGGTGCTCTTGGTTTGACTTAATGGAAGAAGCCTTGGCTTTATGACTCCCCTTTTGCCTCAGGGAAGCTTCCTTCCCCAACATGGCAAGGGTGGACATGGGAGGCTGACATCCTAGCACACTCCCAGTAAGCCTCTTCCCAGGCCTCCCCGAACCCCAACAGTCTGTGTGTCCCCGTGCAGGGGCTCTAGGGCTTCTCCTTGCCAGCCTTCTCTACTCTTCCTAGTTTCATTGTTTAGCCTTCTCCTTCCCCAGAAACCCTGGGTAAAAGTCTCTCTCTTGCCTAAACTGCATATGTGTTCCCTTTCCATAAACAGATTTATAGCTGTGCCTGCCCAGACAGAGTCCATGCCAGCGGCAACCCCAGCTCCTGGTTGCAACACAAGCCCCACGTCATACCAAAGAAACATTGCACGCTGTTACTGCCATGAGACGCTCCCTGGACTGGGCTGTGTCTCTTCCCAATACCCCCAGTTCCACTGAAAGGAGCAAGAACATCATAAAGCTTGTTGCTCTTGTTGGGTGGGGGAGCTAGAAAGGTTTAGCCCATACAAAGACCTGTATAGGATGTCCAGCCTAGTGACCTGAGAGGACAGCAGATAGTGTTTGACTCATTGCTGGGTCCCTGGTGGCTGGCACAGAGCCTGGCGTATCTGAGGTCCTGGTGAATTCATGCTGAATGAAGGACTCATTGGATGAGTGATGAGCTCTCCTGAGAGTTTGTTTCCTGTCCAAAGCCTGGTTTTCTGATTCTGTTCCTTCTCTTCCCCCTGACTTTTCCAATCCTTTAACTTCAGACGGAGCTGTCACTACAAAAGGAACAGTTGCAGCTCAAGATCATTGAGATTGAGGATGAAACTGAAAAGTGGCAGAAGGAGAAGGATCGCATCAAGGTGAGCAGCTCCACGTTCCCCTCAATGTACCCTTACCCACCTGTGGCTGCCTGGGAAAGTTGGGGCATGGCTCATGTCCCAAGTTTCAGCCACAGTGACAACCCGTACTTGTTTGCTTTGGATTCCCCTGCTCCCTTTGGCATTCCCACCAATTTCCCTTCTCAGTTTGGGCCAGGCATCCAGGTAGGATCTTACCTGTCACCTAACACTCATCATCCCAGCAAATAAACATCCCAGACTTGTCCTCCATTGCATCTTCCAATGTCCTCAGGTGTCTGCTCATTGGATGACTCAGCCACCAAGTACATGCCACATGTACATCTGGCCACAGATGTGTGTTTGCCATAGTTTGGGTAATGGCAAAACACAGCCTGAGATCATTGATTCTTGACATTGGCCAGGAGAACAGCTAGTCCGTTCACTTTTTGAATGGTGTTTGGTTTTGTTTGAGCACACCCTGACTTATGGGTCAACGTCTGGGCCCACAGAGAGTCACTTAGCCATGAAGTAGTGGCTTATCATGACCCACCCAGGGGAAGGAGCTGCAGGTGGATGAGGAAGGGTGGACTGTGAAAAACCCTGGCCATCTCTAGCAGCAAGTGGCATCCCTCAGTGATGCCTTTGAATGAGATTCATGGCAAACAGCATTGCAGAGTTAGGGCACTGGGAGTGCCCTGGTCCTGTGTTTAGAACTTAAAGATGTGCTGTGCTCTGGTTTTCTTAATGGAACCCTCCACCCCTCTCCTGATTCTGGACCTAGAGCTTTACCACCAATGAGAAGGCCATCCTGGAACAGAACTTCCAGGACCTAGTGCGGGACCTGGAGAAACAAAAGGAGGAAGTAAGAGCTGCACTGGAGCAGCGGGAGCAGGATGCTGTGGACCAAATAAAGATTATTGTGGATGCTCTAGATGAGAGGGCTAAGGTGCTGCATGAGGACAAGCAGACCCGGGAGCAGCTACACAGCATCAGTGACTCAGTGCTGTTTCTGCAGGTAATAGGAGAGTCCTCCACCAGTCAAGTCCTCAGTCCCCCATCCCATCCCATCCCATCCCATCCCATCCCATCCCATCCCATCCCATCCCATCCTATCTATTTTCCATCATCCATCCATCCATCCATCCAAGCTCCATTCCTTCTATCCATTTAATTTTTCCAACCAACCAACTACCCTGCCTGTTCTAAAGATGGTACACAAATATTACCTTGTATCAACTTTGATTGCTATGTACTAGCAGTATTCCAGGATTAGCAGGCAAGAGTTCTGTGGTGGAATGGTAATGCCTGCTTTGGCTAAGGGGAGAATGGCATATGAACACTGCATCATTTTTATCTTTAATCTAGTCTGTTTGTTTATGCATCCGTCTTTCTGTCTGCTAGAATGTTTTGGGTGCTCCTGACTGCCCAGTACTCTGTTAGGTGCTGTGGTGAATAGAGAAGTATAAGACATGCTTTCTGCCCCCAAGTAGCTGTAATCCAGCTGGGAAGATAAGACGTATACAATTAGAGAACAATATAGAAGAATATGTAATTAAATGATAAAGCATATGGCTCAGGAGATAAGTGCTGTGGAAACTCAGAGAAGGGCAAGCAGGCTGCAGCAATCTATGGACAGCTTTGTGGAGCAGGCAGAGTGTGAATGGGGTCTTGCAGGCACTCAGGATTTGAGGAGGAGGAGGGAGATGAGAAGCACAGGATGGAGTGAGGCCTGTGAAGGTGGAAATACCACCATCACTGGCCCAGAACACCCAGGAATTTCTTGCATTTCCTAATGCTTTCACCCCAGTGTGTGCATGAAAGCTACTTTGAGGTAGGCATGCTGCACCTAGGCCATAGGTCACATGTCTGAATGCAAAGCCATCAGGGATGTTAGCATCTGATGGATTTTAGTTGAATGGTTTTCCCAGTGAGGTTAGTTAATTGAGCTCATTCTAGAGCACAGCTCCTCCGGCTCCCAGCACTGAGTGTATAACTGGGAGCCTTCTGCTAGGCAAAAGATCCCCATAACTCATAAAAATCCTGGAAGTTAATGACTTCTTTCCTTTCTTGGTAGGAATTTGGTGTATTGATGAGCAATTACTCTCTCCCCCCACCCCTCCCCACCTACCATGTCCTGCTGGAAGGGGAGGGCCTGGGACAGTCACTCGGCAACTTCAAGGATGACCTGCTCAACGTGTGCATGCGCCACGTTGAGAAGATGTGCAAGGCTGATCTAAGCCGTAACTTCATTGAAAGGAACCACATGGAGAGTGGTAAGTCCCCTCTTGTATGCAGGCCCAGGAGCATGTCCCTCCCAGGTCAGTTTTTGCTGCTGGGTGCAGGTCAGCATCTAATTGCTGGCCCCTTTCTCTTCCCACCCTTCTACTCACTTAAAGGGATTTGGACTAAAATTCAGAGATTCTAACCCCATATTGAATTTGTAGCTCTTACAAGGGGCCCCTAATGGAGGGAGTACCTGGGCCTTTCCTTCAGAAGTGTCTCTTCTCAGGGGGTCACCTGTCACACTCAGGGACTGGTTTCATTCAGCCCTACATCTGATCATTGGGCCCAGCCCAGCAGCTAAGTAAATGCTGTTGCTGGTATGCACCAGGCTCCAAACTGATGATTATGCAGGCTCCAGTACAAGTGACCTAGCACTGCATGTGTATACACGGAAAGAGGACTTGCACGTCACCATGGCTGTGTTGGGAGTGTTGAGCCCTGAGGCTGGACTTGGCCTGCTGGGCTGGCCTGGGGACATTGGGAGGCTGTGGGTCTCTGTGACTCACCAGCTGAAATCAGCCCCTCCCGACTCACACAGTCTCTGCCAAGGTCACCTGAATAATCTCACAGAAAGCCTCCAAACCTGAGAAACTACTCCATTAAGTCCTTTCCATCCAGTCCTTGCAGGGCCTGAAGCCTGGGTACTTTCCCCAAGACCCCACCCAGTGGTCTAGGCCTAGCATAAAGTCGTTAAAAGGCAAATTAAGGAGGGTCTTCCAGCCATGGACTCCCAACAGGAAAGAGCCCTTGTCTGCAGAGGGAGCACATGATTCTTTGGGGAGGAGAGAGGGCTAAGAGTGTACGGGAAGGTTGGGCAGGGGGCTGCGTGTGTATCTTGGTGATGGTGATATCACACTGTCCCTATGAAATATGAGGGACATTCAGTCACACCTGAGGACAGATAAGCCGTTTTAGCAAGGCAATCATTTGGTTTTAGATGGCACTCAGATCCTGACAGTCTCTTCCTAATGACAATAGCAATGAGCCTAATGGTGATAGTGACAGCTGAAGGTGATTGGATGCTCCCTGGTGCTGGGCATCGTGCTACACTCTTCACTCGAGACACCTTATTTTCTCTGTGGAGTGCTTCACATTGTACAGATGAGAAAGCTGAGGCTCTGGAAACATCCTTTCAAAAGATACACATCCAGGGAGGGTTCTGTCAGGTTTTGAAACCTGCTCTCCAGGCTCCCATGCCTTCTCATCCATGAAGCCACCACTACCACGGATGGCAGTAATAGTGAGTGGCAGCAGGGGACTCAAGCAGTGTGGTGGGCACTGCCCTGGTGGGGAGCCCCTCTGTGGTGAGGTGTGAGCACACCTGGAGACTGGGGCTAACTGGGGTGGGTGGCCTGTGAGCCTTGCGGGAACTGTCCAGCCTCCCAGATGCTCACTGTCCCATTTCTAGGTCAGGGTGGAGCTGGTCATGGCCACTGTGCAGGTGTGCGTGGATGTGGCAGCTAGAAGCAGGTAGGGGCTCTGCTGACTCAGAGCCCTGCCCCTGTGCCTGGGGCTACTGGAGGAGCCTCCTCTGCCTCTGTGTTGTTTTTTGTGTTGTTCCTGATGTGTAGTGGCTGGGAGTGTATCTGCTGTAGGAGGTGGGGGTAGGTGGCCGGTGAGTAAGACCTTAGACTCACTGTCTACTGCTCCCTGATGGTGTCTACCAGACCAGACTCACTCCCACCCTCAAAGGCCTAGGGACTACAAGACACCACGTCACCTTTTTCCTGGGCTCACACCCAGGCAAGCACCCACTGTGTGCCAGGACCCTGCTAGATGCCTAGATGCAGGTGGTGGAGATGAAGGATGGGTCCGAGCCACTCATTCCTCCTCTTGCTGGGGAGAGGGGGGGAGACAGAGGAAGGAAGGAGAAGGAGGAGGAGGACGGGGAATAAGGGAGGAAGATAGGGAAGCAGGAAGAGGAAGAATGGGGTGGAGAGCAGCTTGGGGAAGCTGAGCAGTGAGTGGCAAATTGTTTGAGTTTTGGGGTCTGCAAGTGGGGACAGCTAAGTCACTCAGCTTGTCTTTGGAGGCCAAAGCTGGGAACTCATTCTACTCCTGAGGCTGACAACCAGGGTTGGAACTGAGCTGCAAAGTTGGGAGCCAGGTCTCCAACCCCAACTCTGCCCTTATTGGCATGTGGCATGGGATAAGTTGCTTCCCTCACCTCTTGAGCCTCTATTTTCTTATCTGTCACACAGAGATTTCTTACTTGCCCAAGAGTTAACATGCAGATCAAATAAGGAATGGATACCAACAGCCCCTTGTGAACTCCAAAGTGCTGTGCACATGACCTTACTCACTAGGTGCTGTGAGGACTGGGGACCCCTGGACGTGACAGAGCCAGTCCAATAGGGTGGATGACATTGCTCACCCCCACCCTCAGGAGCAGAGCAGATGCCGGCAGGCATCCTCACATTCTCTGAGGGTGTGGAAGCTTGGCTCTCCCTGGATGGAGGAGATGCCTGAGTGGCCAGCTCCTCTTCCCCACCTGCCTCCTTTGCTGACCCAATCTCTCTTTGTAGGTAGTGACCATCGCTACATGAACAGCTATACAAACAGCTTCTCGAATGAGTGGAGTACGCCTGACACCTTGAAGAGGTACTCTATGTACCTCACACCCAAGGGTAAGGGTGACCCTGCTTGGCCCAGGCCTGGCATCCTGTCCATCCTGCTGCCCAAGAGCCCAGAGTCCACGGAATGACTCCCAGCCAGCTCCTCCTGGGTGGAGTGACCGTACCTTGGGTGTGCCTGGGAAAGTCTGGGTGTCTGCCTGCGGTCCCCGTGTGATTATGAACAATGCTTCCTTTCACTCTTAGAAGTGACAAGAGTCCCGTTTAGATGATAAATTACCCAACACTCTGCTCTTTAGAGGCTCCCCTCCCCCTGACACAGTCAGCCCTTCCAGGACCCTCCTCTGTTCTTCCAAGACTCTCCTGGGCTCCCCTTTGTAGGCCAAACTGAGTGGCACTTCTGCTTAGGTTCTGTGGGTCAGGGCCCTGTGGTAAGGGAGGGGCTGCCTCCTCTGCATTTCCTTACCTGCAGCCTGGCCTCAAGCCCTCCTTTCCCAGGCCTTGCAGAGCCCTACCTGCAGGGTAACAGCCTGATAGGGTCTAGATCAGGCCCTGCCTGTCTCCCTAGGGGAGCCTGGCACATCCTTGGGCACAGCAATAAACCACAGCAATGTCCATTACATAAGGATGGCTGTGCCAGACCCAGCAGCCCTGGATGGAGGGTTGTGCATTTATGTGCACTGGGGGCTGGGGGCTGGGAGAGGGTTGGGATATGAAGAAAGGAAAGGAGACAGCAGGAAGACATTGGGCTGAGGAGGGGAGCGGGGGAGCGTGAGGCCTGGAACAGTCACCCATACACACATGCCCGCTCGCGTGCACAAGTGCGTGTGCACACCCCCCCCCCCATACATGGTGGGAGGGCTGGAGTTTGGAGGGATGAGCTCACTGGAGAGGAAGCTCTGCTGCCCTTCCTGATTTGAAAACAACACCTGGGCTTCTCGGGCAGGTCTAGGGTGGCAGCCAGGTGCCCGGCTTCCCTGCTCCAACATTTCTAGGCCCCAGGCCTAGCCACCAGGCCTACACCCCTGCCCATTTCTGTGAGTGATGAGATGCACTAACAAGCCACCCCCACCCTGCCTTGTCTGGCTCCTCTGTTTGTCCAAGTCCAGCCTCAATGACAGCAGCCCCCCACCAGTTCTTGCTTGATTCTCCTGCTCTGTGGGATACCAAGAGCCAGGGTGGCCCCACTGCAAGGAGAGAAGACTACCGCCCACCAAGGTGGTGCAGAGTCACTGTCCCCTCTGGCTTCATTGATCCTATCTGAGAAGAGAGGCAGATGGCCCAGGACTCAGAGTCCTCCCAGCTCTGCCCCTGTGAGTCAGTCTGTGACATCTGTAGGTGGAAGAAACAGGTTTTCCCAGTGTCCCTGCCCCAGCACTGTGGGCAGCACCCTGGCCAGGGATAAGGAGGGGCAGGACGTCTGCCCTCTGGGCTCCCAGGCTCAGGCCAGAGGAGAGGCACAGGAGACACTGATGAAACTGGGCAAGGAGATCTGGGGAGCAAGGCCACTAATGGCCACCAGGCCCAAGCCTGGGAGTTTGGGGGCCCATGGATTAGGCAGTGGCTGTGACTCCTTCCCAGGAGAGGTTAATTTTGAGGCTTCCGAAGAGGAACTGTGTGCTTGTGACCATGATAGGCAGAGGGCACTGGGTAGAAGAAACCACAGGCAAAAGTGTTTAGAGGGACAGATGGGGGCCACGCTTGGGGGCTGGAGTGCAGTCTGAAGTTTAGGTGGGAAGGGGCAGAGTCGGGGGAATGCAGACCCACTGCTCTGTGAAGTGGGTTCCAATCTACTCTGCCTTCCTCCATGCTGCTGTGAGCACCCAGCTGGGGACAAATGGAGGCACCTGTGGGGAGTGAGTTTCTGATGGCCCTAGGGAAACCGCAGTGTTGTGCTGTCACCAGCTTACTTATACAACTACAGGAGGCTCAGCCCTCTCTCGGCCAAGGGCCCAATACCTCTGCCCCCAACACTGCCATGGCCTCTCCCTCCTCCCAGTTACTGCATTTCCTGGCCCCTCAAGTCTCATTCACATAGGTTCTGCCCCAGGAGGGAAGTGTTGCCTTGTTAGCCTCCTGGTGGTCCCCAGAGAAGGACTACTATACATCATAGTGCACCTAGGATTGTCCTGCTGAGCCCCAGTTCTCTGGGAACGATGATCAATAGAGTACTTTCCATTCCCTAAAGGGTCCCCATTTGGATGATAAATGGTCACCTGGCGCTAGACCCATGGACTGCTCTTAATGTGGGGGTCCAGGTCCTGTGGTGGGCACAAGGAGAGCTCTTTGAGTTTCTGCCTAAGATTTCCCAAGTCAGAGGCTGTGGAGTTGAGCCAGACCCCATTTCTACAATGATTATCCCCTCTTGTCTGCCTCCCAGGTGGGGCCCGCTCAGCCTATCAGCCATCGTCTCCTGGCCGTCTCTCCAAGGAGACCAACCAGAAGAATTTCAACAACCTCTATGGCACCAAAGGTAAGAGGGGGCTCTGCTCCAGGGTAGGCAGGGAAGCTGTGTGGGGGAGCAGGAGGAGGTGGGGGCCAGAGCTGGGCCATGGTGGGCACTGGATTCCCCAGTATGAGACGAATATGGGGAGCTGGGGCAGGAAGTTCTTGAGCTTAAAGTGTGTGTGTGTGTGTGTGTGTGTGTGTGTGTGTGTACCCACATCATTAAGTAGGTTGGGGGAGAAGCGGCCAGAACTCAGCATCATGGGAAAGCTCTCCTCAATCCATGTGCCCTTTTTGTCCCTAAAGGATGAGTTGGGGGAATAAAGTGGCCACTCCAGAATAAGGTCTGAGGACCTTTTCCAGCAAGGAGCAGAACAGAAGGACCCATGGAGGACCTTGACTGATTTCTGAGCTTCTGCGTTAAGAATCGAGAAGTAGTTAAGACAAACTACCTTAGCTGTGGATGGAAAGGAAGGAAATGGGGCAGGAAATGGGGCCATTCCTAGAAATCTAGGTAGTATTACTGCCATGTGAGGGAGGGGGCAGGTGACACCATCAGACCAGGAGAAGTGGAGTGAGGGTGGGGATGTGCCTTCCCCAGTGCCAGGTCTCCCTCTGCCAGTGCACTGAGGAACTACTGTACCTCAGGGCAGAGCCTGGAGCTCAAAAGCCCCAGTTTTGGGAGGCACTCATTCTGTTCTGGGGGCTCCTGGTTCGGAGCTGTACTGGGGAGTGTGTGACTGGGTCAGCTCCACCAGAGTCTCCACCACAGACATAGAACCAGGAACACTCTCGAATGAGGCCAGGCCCACTTAGACTAGAAAGTAGGGCAACTTGGGGAGCAGGGCAATGCCTAGGTCTCTCTGTCCAGCCTCAAATTCACAGCCAGGATGACCCACCACCTTTCTATCCACATAACAATAGCCGGTAAGCTATAGGAGGGTAGTCGCAGGGACATGGGGCTATCCTACTCAGGGATGCCCGTGCTGGTTCCAGAAGGGAGCCGGCTTGGGAGAACAGTTGAGACAGAAGGAGGAAGGAACAGGGGAGGAAAGGCAAGGCCTCTAGCCCCTCAGAGCCTTGGGCAGATGTGCTCTTCGAGGGCCTTGTGCAGAAGCTTCCTGAGTGCCTGCTGGAGGACTCAGTGAAGAGTGGCCACCCCAGCCATCTCTGACTTCTGGGAGGACTTGGTGGGCATTTCTCCAGAGTCACCTGGATCAGGACGTGCTGGAGGCTCCTGGGCTGCTACAAAGGGGGCTGGAACCCCAGGGCTCTGAACCCCCAACTTAAAATATCCTCTTGGTGCCTCTACTGACTCTTCCACCTGCTTCCCACTGCCTCTACCTCTAGATGACAGGGACATATTTGTACAACCTGCCAAAGAAGATTTCAGGTGTTCCATCAGCTACCTGTGTCTCTAATGTATAGGATGTGTTTGTGTTTATTTGTTCTTTTGCTTATGCATTCATCCATCATCTATACAACGAGTACCTTCTAAGAACCAGGCACGACAGTGCCGGCCAGACAGGCATTTTTCCAGTCCTCATGGAGCCCAGTTGGGGAGACAATGAAACCTGCAGTTGCAGCCCAGGGGTCGGGGGTGCAGGGTGGTGTGGGGTATGGGGTGAGGTGCACATGGACACAGGGATGGTCACATGTAATATGATATGTGAAGATCCACTATATGAATTTGCTAAGAGTGGGGAGCAGCTGTGGTGTCCTGGCAGATCTGCTCTGGGTCCAAAGCTTGGGGCAAGAGAGAAGCTGGGAGCTCAACCTGGTTGGGGTGCTCAGTGACATGCTGAGTGGGGAGAGTTGAAGCCAGGAAGTGGATGGAATGATGGGAGTTGGGTACCTCTCAGGAAAGACCTGTGGGCTCTGTTAAGGACTTGGCTTCTTATTCTGAGGATGGTGGCCTTTAGGTCAGGGGATGCCCTTAGGGCAGGGCATGACTATGCTTTGTCTTAGAAAGGTAACTTTGATGGTAGGAAGGACTGGGGGAGGCATTCTGGCTTACAAAGGAGGGGCTGGAGAGTAAGACTCAGACTTGGCTGCATCTCAGCCTTGCCTTCCCTCCTCTACTCTTCCCCACAAAGGTCTGACATGTTCTTGCCCTGTAGGTAACTACACCTCCCGGGTTTGGGAATATTCCTCCTCCATCCAGAGCTCAGATGACCTGCCCCAGGTCCAAGGCAGCTCCTCCTTCTCCTTGAAAGGTGAGCCTCCCTTCCATGCCCCCTGCTTGTCCTCTGCAGTTGCCCACTTTGCCCTCTGCTCCCCCCTCTCCCCCTGAGATCTTGGAGAAGAGCGTCCTGGCCTGAGAGCCGGAGCTTCTGACAAGGTCCTTGCTGTGAAGGAGGTCAGAGGACGGGGCTGGGCCACACAGTGTTTCCCAGGGTCCCTAAAGATATGCTGTGACCCCTGGGCTCAGAGATTGGCAAGGTGGTCTCCTCACTCCCGAAGCATCCCCCTCTCCGAAGGCCCAAGGGCTTCCCTTAGGTTCACATTCAGTCTTCTTACTGAAGTTAACTTTGTTTACTCAGTGACTTCCAGTATTGGTTGACCCTATGCCCTGGGGCCATGTAGCATTCTCACTGTCCCACAGGGCCAACCCTGCCGAGCCACTCTAGGGAAGGTGGGGCCAGATGGCCTTGAGGGGCTCTCAAATCCCATCTTCCTTTTCCTGTGCCCTGCCCTCACTGCTGTGCTCCCTAGAACTCTTAAACAAGGTTGAGTGGTTAGTGTCTCCTGTGCCCCCAGGTTCGGGCCATCCTAAGGGAATAAGCTTGAACCACACTCTGGCTTTCAGTGGACCCCAAGGTTCTCATGTCTCTCCTGATAGGTCCTAGGAACAGCTCTGGTGGGCTGTGGCCTGAGTAACCCCTTTTTCCTTGGCATGCAAAATGCCTGGCCCTGGAAAAAGGACCAACAGGCAGGGCAGGGCCCAAGGAGGGACAGGGAACGGGTTGTACTGGAGCAATACTCGAGCAGTGGCTTCTGGGGTGGCTTTGTCACCCAGTGGTCCTTCCAGTCTACATCCAGATCAGAATTCTTGGAGCAACCAGCAAAGTGAAGGAGAAGAGAATATGGAGGGAGAGGGGCCCCAGTCTGTAGGGTCCCCCAAAGGTCCTGACTCTGAGCTGGGTATGGAAAGCTCTGGGATGTACCTTGGCCAGTCTAGGTTCCAGTAGATGCCTCTTGGACCCCTGGAAGGAAAGACACCCAAGTTCATCTCCCTGCACAGACCTCCTGTCTAAGGGCTGGCCTAGGAGGGACTCTCCTCAAGTACACTGCACCTTGGAGAAGGAGCCTGGGGATGCCTTTCTCACTGTCAGGCAGATCACTCATGGGGCTGGCTGGGAGGGCCCTGGACAGGGTTCTGGACAGAGGATATGCTGTGGGCAAGGACTGAGCTCCCAGACACCCCCAGTAGCCCTGCAGGAGTGGCCATGGCTGCCTGTAAGCTGCAGAGCAGGGCAAGGGCTGCAAAGCTGAGGGCACAGATCCCAGTGAGGAGTGCGCACCTCGGGCCTCACACATGTGGGTGCAGGCTGCTAATCCTCTCTCTCTCCTGGCAGGCGCTGGGAAAGCCCCCTATCAGGTCACCACCTTGGGACAGGCCACTGCAGAGTTTTCCAAGCCACTGGACCACAGTGGGCTGTTTAACAATAACCTTGGTACCTGCCCTTTTCTCACCCTTCCCCTTACCTCTCCCGCAGAGGGCAGGTGGCACATCCTGTGGGGTTCTCTGCCACTTCTAGAGTGTCCTGGTCCCACCTCCCCAGAGCTCCCTGGAGAAAGGTGCCTGTCCTCACCTGCATCCTGGCTCACTCGGTCTGGACTTCTGCCTGTTGCATAAGGCTGGTCTTCTGGGCCACCCTATGCCTACCCTGTCCCCTCCTTGCCTCTCTTGTGGCTGGCCTGGGATTTTCTTTCTGGGAACTGAGACTGAGATCTGAATTCCCCTTCTCCATTTTCACTCAAGATCTGTAGAATCTCTATGTTCCAGGCGGCTCTCACCCCAGGTACAGGGATGGCCCAGGGTCCTGACCTTAACCCCACTCCCTGCCTCCTTGTTCAGTGCCATGGGCCTGACCTTTTCATCCTTGTGGAGAGCTGGGCAGGACAGGGGCCTCCCCAGGCAGGCAGCCCACAGCTGCACCCAGCCAGGGGACTGCCAAGAACAGACCCAGTTTATTTCTTGAGCTTTTCAGCATCCAGGTCATGGCCTATTTCTCCTCCAGCACTGCTGCCTGTCCCTGAAGGCTGGTGGTCGACAGTGAGATGCTTTTCTCTGATCCATGGGCCAGAGCGACTTACAGCCTCCATCCCCTGGATAATGGAGAGGGCTAGGGAGATGACAGGGCAGCTCAGCCCTGGGCTGGTACCTCCGGATCAGACCTGCTCCCCCTTGGGTTTGCTGTCTTGACCCTGGGTGGAAGTCACACTGACAAACCGTGTCCCTCTGCTGCCCAGTCCCTCTCACAGTGCTTGAGTCAAGTGGGAGTTGGCAAAAGGGAAGCCTCCCCTACTCGGTAAGGTGGAGTTGGGGGCTTCTCCTTCGGGGAAGTGCTGGCATGGGATGCTTATCTTGAGGCTGTCCTGGGCTCAGGCCAGGGAAGGGACTGGGGTATGAACCCTGGGTGGGTGGCAGAAATCCCTGCTGCCTGGCTCAGCCACCTGGCCAGCTTCTCCTCTGTCTGCCTCAATGCCTCCTCCCTCTGGCTGGCCTCCCCACCCGACTACTGCACACCTCTTCAGGTGGCTGCTTGGTAGCGGCTGGAAGGCGCTTTGTGGTCACTGTGGAGAAAGCAGCAGTGCTGCATCAGCCCCTGCTGACCAGTGTGTGCTCCCTCTGACCACAGCCTCTTGTCTCCCAGGCTATCCCTCCCTCCTCCGGAGCCAGGCCCCCAAGGCCCAGCCCCAAACTTGGAAATCTGGGAAGCAGACTCTGTTGGTAAGTAAAAGGCTGCCCAGAGAGCTGCCCGGGCACAGGATGGGCAGAGACCTGGACCCTGGAGGGGGCTCTGAGACATCCCATTTTTAGTCCATAGGATCTGTGGGAAGAGCATCCTCCTTCTCTGGGCCAAGCATGGGGGAAGGAGGCAGTAGTGGCCGAATACCTGCATAAACAATGATAGCAGAGGCTCGGGGCTTACAGGCAAGGGGCTTGTGTAAGCACATTATTTGGGCCTCAGTTTTCAAATCTGTAAAGTGGGCACCTTGCTTTTCTCTTTGGCAAGGGATTGTTCAGGGCCTGTGCTTGGTGGCTTGGTTGTCACCAGCTGTGGAACTGTAAAATGCTCAGTCCAGGGCATGGGAATCTTGGAGCTGTGTCCTACTCCCCTGGGCCAGTTTTCTGGCTCTGACAGTCCAGAGGCCATTGGAGTGACAGTGTGGGGGTGGGGGAGACTGAAACGTGAAGAAGAGGTGTACTTAGTGTTCAGTACCTAGTGACTCCAAGGCTACCAGAAGAACAGTGCAATGGGGAAACGTGGCTGAGGGACCCAGGCTACCTGCTGGCTGTGGTGTCCAGGACAAGTCAGATATCTCTTTGGGACTCTATTTCTTCATTTTTATAATGCGGGTCCTGAGATAAGGTGCTCCAATGCAGGTGCTGAGATAAGGTGAGCTTTAGCCCTGGCGAGCCTGAGCCCTGCCTGAGACCTCAGTGGTCAGGCTGGCTCACATCCTGGGCCTCCATCTCTGCAAATGCTTCTCTCCTGAGGCTATGCCAGGGGTCAGCCAGTTGCCCTGATATATAGGCACTTTTAGGGTTTTCTGGGGACAGGGCTCAAGCCCTGGGTGCCTGCTGTCTTTGCATTTGGAGGTCAGAGCATGGGGAGGTGATTTGCTCTGGACCACAGAGAATGGCTGGGGCTGTTTAACTGGAGAGAGTATTTAATTTGCCAGTGAGGGAGCTAAGTGATCGTGTGTGTAATTTGGAGCTGGGCCCAGGGGCATTGCAACAGCTGGACTGCAGACAGCTGATATGGGAGAACAAGCGAGGTTTCCATGTCTGGACACAGTCCTCCCCTCCTTGCCACGTTCTTCACCCTCCCAGAGCCTGGGTCCCCACAGAGAAGACTCAAGGCCACCTGGGACTTCTGGAGGGCAGGGGCCTGGTGTCCACCCAGCACCCAGTGCTGGGAGGGCAGAGGTGGTATGAGCATGCAGAGTCTGGCCTGGCAGGCAGAGGCTTTGGGGCTGGTCCCAGCCCTCTCCTCAACTTGTGTGACCGTATGTGAGTCTTTCTTCTTCTGTGCCTCAGTTTCCCCCCTATAACAAGAAACATTAATCAGATGGCCCAGGTGCTTTCATAGCCCTTTTGACTCTCACATGCTACAAGCCTGAGGCAAAGAGGAGACAGGGGAGGAGGGACAGAGGAAAGAGGGTACTGTGCCTCACTGTCATGGGGCTATGCTCCGGTCACCCATCAGTCCAGCCTCTTAGCAAGACAGTGCTGCTCACTGACTTGTGACCGATATTACTGACCCAGGCTCCATAGGAAAAGCTCTGCCATCCTCAGCTCTTTGCCTTATGGACAGTGTTGGGCTCCAGATTGGCACTCTGGGGCAGAGACCTGGCTCTAGGACCTGCCCTGCACTGAGTAGCCGTGTGACTTTATCTTGGTTTTTCCTTTTTCTGGGCCTCAATTTCTTCCTCTTTTTACTTGGTGGTTTAGCCAAGGTCTGAGCCAGTGACCCTTGGGGCTGGCACTGCAGGGCCAGAGTCTGCAAGGAGCTGGCTCAGAGCAGCAAGGTCCCAGGCAGACAGGGCCAGGGAGGGGCTGGACTGGCTGGGAGTTGGTATCTCCCATACAGTGGGCATAGGGTGGGCTCAGCTTCTGGCCCAGCTCAGGGACAAACCCACTCCCTGTGACCCTCTGCAGATGACAGTGTCCTCACCCACAAGTAGCAGCTAAATTGTGTCTCCCATTTCAGCCTGGAGGGCCCAGGGCTCAGGGCCCTGATGAAGAACTGGGAGGATGAGGGAGGGTGCTGATTTTGTGAAATTACTGTGAGACGTGATCCACAGAGAAGGCAGGGAGAGTCTTCCCTGTCCTGTCCTGAGATTTGTTCCCTGAATGCTGACGAGGGGGGTAGGATAAGGGGAGTAGGGTGAGGGTGAGCTGGGTCGGCTTAGGCTGGGGCAGAGAGAGCAGAGGCAGGCACTCGAGCCCTTGAGACACAAGACATGATGGTGGGATGGGACTGACCACTGGGGCTCAAGTCCTGGCTTCTCTACTCACTAGCTGAGTGACCTTGGGCAAGTTGCCTAGCCTCTCTGGTCCTTGGTTTGCTCAACCATAAAATGGATATGATAACAGTAACCTGTTTAATTGGGTGGTTTAAAAATTAAATGAGTTCATCCATATAGAGCACACAGCACAGTGCTGTATAGTTCTGTAAAGCAGAAAGTGCTATAAAAATGGTGGTCATGGTGGGGCTGGGATGCTCTTGGAGCAGGCGGGCGCTGAGGTTCAAGTTCATCAACTGGTTGGCAGACATGAGCCCTACCCAGAAATTCTGTTAACACGAGGGACCAACCCTGGATCACAGGGTAGGGAGATCTTGCGGGTCAGGCCACGGCCCTTAGAATGGCTGGCACTTGGGCCATTGCTGCTTCTGGGGGAAGCGAGGCTGGGGCAGGGGAGAGCTGGCTAGTGGTCACACTGCATCTGGCTACCTAACACTCTTGTCTTCTCCACAGTCTCACTACCGGCCTTTCTACGTCAACAAAGGCAACGGGATTGGGTCCAACGAGGCCCCTTGAGCTCTGGCAGGAGGGACTGAGGCACAGCCACCCCCCACCCTACCCGCCTCACACTTTTCAGCTGCTGCTCTGCTCCACGAGAGACCGGGCCCACCTGCCCTGCCCTCCACTGCTGGCCATGCTCCATCCCAGCTATTTTCCTGCTTGGTGATTTGTGATGGTCACCCTTGTTCCTATGCTCAGGAGCTAACCCAGGGCAGGGATAAGAGGCAGGTGGCTTCTCCCCTAACTCACCCCCCCATGGAGCTGGGTCACTGGGGCCTCCATGGTATCAGCCTGACCTCCTCCTGCCCATGCCCTTTGGTCTCCAGGCCCGGTGACTATTTCTCTCCAAGCCTTCATCTCCCCAATGTGGGCAGGAGGTGCCAGGCCATTCCCAGCTCCCATTCCTGTGAACCCAGCAGGGTTTTTCTTCCCAGCACCTTCTTCCCAGCAGCCTTTCCCTGACAGAAGAAGACTGTCCCATGTGCCCTTGAGGGTCCTACTCAAGAAAGCCTAGCCTGGCAGAACCTCAGCCTTTGGGCATCTTGGAGGGGGACCTTTTGGTGTCCTGGCCTCACCCTGCCTGTAGTCTCTGCTATGTTCACCTTGAGTCTGTAGTCCCTGCAGGACAGGCTCTCCTGGCTGGCAGGATGGTCTTAGCCAAGCTATCCCTCTCTTCTACCTGCCAGCATAAGCAATTCCCTGGAAGCCATATAAGCCACCCCTGAAAAAGCTACTGGCCCAGCCTTCCTGAGGAAATACCATTTCCCTGTGGGATTTCAATCATTTTAGAATCTGGCATTCTCCTTAGCAATGGAAATGAAGCAGGCTGGTGACTGCTGCCACTGTCTGCAAGGGTGCCTTACCCCATCAGGAAGTCTGTCTTCCCTCCGACTACCTTCCCTGTCTGTCGTGTGTCACAGGGCCTGGAGAGGAGACCAAACCAAGAGCAGCTGGGGGTGTCCTCTCACTCCAAGGACCAATGGGGGCTGTGGAGGTGGCCAGCTTTCAGGGGTGGGAGGGGACTTTCAGCTTGGGCCTTCCCCTCGTCAATAAACCACTCATCACTCATCGCTTTGGTATGGATACGTGGTTCTCTGAAGGTCCTTGGAGGGATGGGGGGCTCTGTGACCTTCTCTCTTTCTCCTTGAAGATGGAGCACCCTTGGGTCTCTCCTTCACCCTCCCCTACTTCCACTGAGACTCAGGGGAGTGGAAGACTGGAGCCAGGCAGCCCTTGGTTCATTGAGGGCAGATGTGGCCAATGGCTGTGAGTGGGTGGACACCCTCACGAACCTGCCCCAGGGTCCACAGAGGCTGCCTTGGGTTTCAGAGTGAAGAGGGTACAAATACCGTAGTGTGCCTGGGACACCCCAGCCTCTGCTTCCCCAGCCCTCACTCTGCCCTACCACAGGCCAGGTGACACGGGACAGCTCCATCCTGGTAAACGCCCCTAAGTGAGCTAGCTGAAGTCCATCCTGGCGGGACAACGCTCCTCTGTCCTCCTGCAACGCACTGGGCTGAGGGAACTGTAGGGTCCCAGCCAGCAGCCAGGCTTCCCATGAAGGGGCTACTGGAGCTAGCAAAAGAAGAGAGGAATGAGCAAGAAGAGAAGGAAGAGGAGAAAACAGGGTGTGGCCAGCCAAGAAAGGCTGTGGCCCATGGGGGACACTACCACAAGGTGGGCTGGTGTGCTCTGGCCACCTCCGTGGTCCCTCTTGGGGCTGGGTGGACAGAGTGTCCCTGGGGTTGGCTGCTGCTCCCCACAGCTCCCTTTCCCAGGCACTGCTTTCCCCAGCCAATGTCCCCTGAGGAACACTCCTCCTGAGTGCCCATCAGTCCACCTGCACAGGCCTCTGGTGCCCTAAAGCCGCCCTGACCTTTGGGACCCGTCCCTATGACTGTAAGGACAAGGAGGGTGCACTTGAGGGCTCCAAGGCTTTTCAGACTCAGTCCCCTGGATCCCGCCCAAGCCCCTGCTCTAGAGGAGGGAGCAGCTGGAAACCCAGGTCTGGCCCATTCTGTGGGACCAGCCTGGCTGCTGCCTGGCCTGGGCTTGGGTGTCCCCAGGGCCACCACCTGCCCTGGAGGTAGACATGAAGTGAAGTCACCTGTCCAGAGGCTCTGGCCCTGTGCCTGGAACTGGGTGAGGTCCCCTCTGAGCACGACCCTCCCCAGTCTGTCCCTATCTGTTCCATTATGGTCCAAGCTGATTAAACACCAATCGGGGGATCCTTTCGGCCCAGTTCCTGAGAATGCTTCCCCCACCAGCGTGAGTGAGAACAAGACACCTCTGGCAGATCCCGGGGCTTGGGGTGGAAGGATCTCCCCCCAGAAGGGATGAGCAAGGAGATCAGCAGCGCTCTGCTGCCACTCTGGATTGTTTCAGGCCTGGAACAGGTTGCTGGCCTGTGCTGCTGTTCTCGGTCCTCACCAAACCATGGGATGGAGGCTGCTCTGGGCAAGACGTGGGAGTCAGGTGGCCAACAAGGGAGGAGGCAGGCTGTGCTGGGGCTCAGCCAGAAGGAGCCCTGGTGGGGTGCGTGGGAGACTTGGCTTCTCATCCTGGCTCTGTAACTTCCATCTCCACCTTGATCGTTTTGGGAGTCTTTTCCTAGCTCTGTAACCTGTGAGATGAATACACAGCAAGGAGTGTTGGACACGACTGGAACCATGAGCATGGTTGAAGCTTGGGGTTCCATAGGCTTGACTGTGCTGAGATCCGGGATGTTGAACTCCAAGCCCCCAAGGGTCCCTTCCCCCTGCTCAGTGCGACACCTCCTCTCCTAGACCTGACTGCTAGGGGTCACGAGATGCCTTCTTGTCCAGTAAGAAAGAATGCTGGGCCCACAGATGCTTGGGCCTTCAGGACTCCTGGTGACACCAGGAGCAATTCCATTGTGTCTTAAAACAGCGCCCAGTGCCCAGCACCCGGACAGCCTGGAGGGGCTGGGACACAGTCACCTAAGAAGAGGTGGTGAGAGATGAGGGTGAAAGACAAGAGGAGGTGGGCAAATGCGCACTGAGGGGTGTCGGGGCACGTCAGGGCTTGGGAAGCTGCCTCGGGCTCCCGCGGGCTGTGGGAAGTCCAAAGCCAGACTGCCGGGACTGGTGTCCTGGAGGTGCCACCCACCAGCTGCACGACCTCGGGCAAGCTGCCCAGCCTGTCTGAGCTTCGTGGGGATGACAATTTAAAGGACTGTTGTGAGCAACAAGAACAATATGACAAGTAATGTTTCCATAGTGAGTACTCAGGAATGGAGAAATTATCATTATCGTCGAATAAACAAAACAAAGCGTAATGACAGCATTTCAACCAAAAGGCGAAAGCCGAAAGCTTGAGTTTCCCATCCTTTATAGCAACCTTCTGCATTTTCTGTGGCAGCAGTAGGCCTGGTTTCCCAATTTCTCACCCGACTGCAGGACCAGCTCCAGGGTTCCTGCAGTTCTGAGATATTCCCAGCAGGTGGCAGCATTTCACCACCTCAATGGGCACTGAGCCTCCCTCCCCTGCCCAGGCAGTCAGGAAAGGTGCCACACCCCTTGCGCTGAGTGGCCAGGCCCTTTCTTCATTCTGCGTTAGCTAACCAGATGTTTCCGTCCTAGCGTGGAACGCGTGATGGCAGACTTCTCAGGCCGAGCAGGAATGAGGGCTTACTACTCATGCTACCAAGTGGGGATAGAGCCCGCGGGTTGGACGGGGGAGGGTTCCTTCTACACGGGCACCATCCCTGGGCTCTGTCTGCAGGGGCCTGGTCAGAGGAGGGGCTGGGTGGGCTTTCCAGCCTCCTTTCTGCAGCCCTGTCCTTGTCCCATCAAACCCTCAAATCATCTCCCAGGATGACCGAGGCAGTTTTATCTTTCTGAGTATTGACTATTACGTTTGAAAATGAGCTGTTGTTCAGCCACATAAACAAGGGAGATAAAAAACGCTAATTGCATGGTGGATGTGCCAACTTCTGGTTCCTAATTCATCACCTTGCCAAGGCGGGGAGGGAGAGAGGAGGAGAACGGGGACTGGAACCTTTGGGGCCAACAGACCTATTTCAAGAGGATGTGGCAGTGAGTAGGTGATTCAGGAAGCCCTTCCCAGGGGAAGAGAATGGATCTGGGGCTTCCTGAGGACAGGGAGCCTGGAGATGGAGGGACGGCCTGGAGGGCTTCAGCTCATGGCTGTCAGTCAGTTCATCTCAACTGGACACATGATTGGTTTCCTTGCTGGCCTGTGGTTGGGCCTCAGTACCAAACTCAGCATTTCTGTAAGGCTGGTCCCACCCTCAGTGGGGCTGAATTAATGGGCTGAAAACCTCACCACTGTCAACCTGCAGGAGCTGATCTAGCAGTGGACAGTGCATCCCAGGGAGCCTTATGGAGAAGGATTCCAGATTCTTTTGAGGGGGAGTGTTTTGTCTCTGATGAATTATGCTGTGGGCTGGACCAGGTGACCTTGACTCAAGTTGGGTCCATTGCACAGGCCCAGATGAGAGAAAGGAGCACAAGGGTCTTGTGGAGGGGCAGAGCAGGAGGGGTACAGGGGAAGAGACCTTTGTTCTTTTGCAGATACAACTGGGCCTCTGTGTCTGAGGTTCTGCTTCAGTGGATTCAACCAACTGTGATTGAAAATATGAGAAAAAAATTGTACCAAACAGCTAGACTTTTGCTTGTCATTATTCCCTAAACAATAGAGGTAATGACTATTTACACACCATTTACATTGTATTGGATATCCATGATCTAGAGTTGATTTAATGTATACAGGAGGAAGTGCTGGGTAGGTTCTGAGCAAGTTCTACACTGCTTTGTGTAAGAGACGTGAGTGTCTGTGGAGTTTGGTGTTCACAGCGTGGGGATTATGCAGACCCTAAGGAGCAGGTGCCTCAGAGCTGTAGCAAGATTTAGGCATGGGTAGCATGAGGCATAGGTGCCTCTTCGGGGAACTGGCCTCTAATCAGGGGAGTGAAGACGGCATCAGGCACGAACCTGTGAGCTGATCTAGGTGTGGGGGCGGCAAGCCTAGCAGAGGGGGGTGGGAGGTCCTCAGTGTTGAGACTTTCGATGGGAGGATCTGGGAGGACCAGAGGGTCTTGACTGGGAGATGACTTCTCTGTATGTGCGAAGGCAAAGGCTGGCCCGGCAGGCAGCAAGGCAGCAGGACCGGATCACACAGTCCTGTAAGCTCAGGGGCTGCCTCTGGGGAAGGGCCAGGGGCCAGGTCAGCACTCTAGGAAGAGGGATCAGGAGGCACTGAGAGTGGAGGTCAGGGTGAACCAGGATGGTGACTTGAGATGTTGTCCACAGGGCTGACTGTGGCAGAGGAGGGCCAGGCAGACACAGGCAGGGTGCAGAGCAGGATGCAGTGGTTTGGGGGATGGCAAAGGGCAGAGGGCTGTGGGCAGGGGAGAAGGTCCTAGGTGCTGCAGGGGACCCAGGACCAGGGAGCAGGGTGTAGCCCAGCTGCCACAGGCTGAGGCAGAGGAACTTCTGCTGGGGGGTGAATGTGGGACAGGGACACAGTCCCAGAGGTCACCCCCACCTGTGCCCATGAGCTGAATCTTGATTCTGCGTGGGAACCACTGGGTCAGTAGAACAAGGTCCCTATTCTCCCTGCTCCTCAGTTTTCTTATCTGCAAAATGGGGCTAATAATAGTGACAGACAGAGTTTTTGAGGGGATTAAATGAAAGGAAGTAAAGGGTCCCCACAGTGCACAACACACTGTAATCATTCTGTGAACAGGTGCTTAATGGACAGGTGGAGAATAGGACGGAATGTTCACCTTGTCTCTCCCCTCACTTGCTCTTTTCTGACCCCGGCTTTCATTGGTGGCAGTGGTGGCGCCTCCTCCAGGCCACCCGGCCATGGCATGTGGGGGACAGGTTGGACCTGAGCCTTTCCTTCCCAGTGGGCATCCAGCCACATGTCCTCAGGGCTGTGCCTGGCGGGGGGAGCCAAACTGCAGGAGGGACAGAGACCGTTCTCCTTCCTCTGAGCGTGTAGGGCCAGCAGCTACATGCACGGGTGGCCGGGGTAATTAATTTACACATTTCATCCTGCTTAAACTAATAAGCTCCTTTTT